GTTTAAAATTGGTCATAATTATGATTATAGTAAGACTATTGTTAGACAGATATAACGGTTAGACAGTCATATTTTTTATAATAGTTGACATGCTTTCGACATGACATGTCATACACTAAACAACATATATAAAATTAGGACATTTCATGACATAAATATGTATTTTTATGAAATATATATATACATATATATATATATATATATATATATATATATATATATACGAGTGGACTCGATAGCGGTTAAGATATCCCATACAAGAACTTTTAATAATTTATGAAAACTTTACGTTAAAATAACTTTAGCCCGGGTAGATTTGAATCCTGGCTCCGCCCCTGGTGCCAACAATACTTCATCAAAGGGGGATGCGAGCATTGACATAGATGAACTTCATGAAGTGACTCGCTCAATAGGATAGAAGACAGCCAAACGAAAGGCCAAGTGTAAAGACAAATCTAACCTTGATGAGATTGGCCACAGAAGACAACAATATGGTTGAGGATCTTGTCGAGTTAACAAGCTTGAAAAAACATGAAGTTGAAGTTAAAAAAGCTACTCTTGAGAAGAAAAAACGGAGAAATCGTCGAAAAGGCTATGATATTTTAATGAAGGATACAAGCCACATGACCCAAGAGCAACGTATTTCTCATGATAAAATGTGTCAAGTAATTCGAGAAAAATGTAACTTCTAGACTTTGTGTTATTTGTTTAATTATCCTTGTATTTCTGTATGTTGTGATTTGCGAAATTGAACTTTTAGTTTGTATTTCATTTAAGTTGTTCTTGTTCTTGTTAAATTGTTACTCAGTCTTTCATTAAATTGTTCTTGTTCGAAATTAAATTTTGTAGTATGTCTTTCATTAAAATTGTTCTTTGTATCCGAGAGATTTTTTGTGTTTTGAACAATATGACTAATCAATTTATTGGTCAAAATAAATATGTTAAAAGATAAGATATGACTATAAGAAGTTATTCAATTTGTTGGCAAGAATAAACATGGCAGGAGACAATGCATAGGATGTGGCACACTTATCCACTTGTTAACTCAACTAATGTATCAGAAAATAATAAATGGGCCATGAATGACAACTATATGCAATAGTTGTCTATAATAATTAATTTGCTGGTCATCAAAAATATGTCAGAAATTAAGATATGACTATGAATAGTTAATCAATTTGCTGGCACAAAAACATGTCAGAAGATAAGACATGGGTTGTGGCATGCTTATTAATTAGATAACTTAACAAATGTGTCAAAAAATAATGTATGAGCCATGGATGACAGTTATATGCAATAGTTGTCTAATAATCAAAATATCAAATTGCTGGTTAAAATAAATATGTTAGAAGATAAGATATTGCTATGAAAAGTTAATCAATTTTCTTGCACAAATAAACATGTCAAAGATAAGACAAGGGTTGTGGCACACTTATCAATTTGATACCTCAATTAATGTGTCAGAAAATAAAGCATGGGCAATGAATGACAGCTATATGCAATAATTGTGTACAATAATGCATGGGCCAATATACACATACGTTGATGTCTATATATCCAAAGCAAACTTACATATTTTTTCTTATTCTGCAAGTCATAGTTACACACTTTATTCAATTAGAATCCTCCAAATAGTCTCAAAATTCATATAGATTTGAGTCTAATTCATCATCTTCCACCGACAGTGAAGATGGTGATGACACTAACGATTTGGAAGTTAAAATAATTTCAATCGTTCAACGAAGCTATGAGTTACTTCAAGAATATCAACATTAAATTGATGTTCATAGAAGAAAAAGGTTCATTTAAAGAAATTGTGAAGTTGGACAAGACATACTTGTAAATGATTATTTCTCTGACCATCCAGTCTACCCGGACCATTTCTTTCATAGACGTTATGTATTGTGAAGAGAATATGTTGATAACCGAGTTAGCCCAGAATGAACCGGAGCCGACCTCTCAGGACCCGAGCTGAGTACCCTGGCCTAACACCGGGGTGCCGAGCTGAACTGAAGATTAAAGACATGCAAAATCGCCGTGAGAACGTCTCTCTAGACCGGCACCTGGCTCAGACCGGACAGGAGCCGACCTGAGTGGGCGCCGGGCAGGAAGAAGGCAACTGGCTGTCTCGCAAGCACGTTCGAGTAAGATGCCGACCTGAAGATCAAGGGTGGCCGACCAGAGGGAAAGGGCGGGGCTCGACAAGCATTAAAATATTCCCACTTGGAAGGCCATCATTAGATGATGGGACAGGTTATTATAGCCTAGCGCCCTACCAGCAAATCTAGTCGAAAAAGCCTACCAGCATTAAATGCCACTCATGCTGGCATTTAATGTCTGACAAACAATGATTGAAGAAGCCTCAAATCGCATTAAATGCATGTCAGAGGGACGCCGAACTGCTCTGCAAGGCCATTGTGCGACAAGACCGGTGAACAATAGCTGAACAGTACCACATTAAAGACTACTATAAATAGCAGCTCATTTCATTTATTTTGGGGTTGTTGAATCTCAACTAACTCTGCCTTCTCTCTACTTTCTCTCTCTAAAAATGTAAGAAATTCATTGTAAGAATTGTAAGTATATCGTAAGTGTCGACCTCGTACGAGAGGTCGACCTCGTGATCGCCTAATAAAACCATAATCAAACCGAATCTTCCTTTCATTTTCAATCTTTTACTTTCGACATTTATCATTTTAACCGTTGACCGAAAACGCTCGTCAACAGAATAATTTCTTTGAATTGTAGATGCACTTTAGACACAATCATCATTTTTCCAACAAAGCATTGATGCAGTAGGAAGATAAAGTTTATCACCACTTAAAAAATGCACAACAACATATTAGAACATTTTTATTGGTTGGAATGTATGCTAGACATAGTATTTTATTTTTTGCATTGAATAGCTTTTGAGTTTTTTTTTACTTGGGTTTGTCCATGTCATTTAGGACTTAAGTATATTTATATGGCACATATGTAAAATTAGACCCAATGCATTGTGGGTGCTCTATTTAAGACCTAAGAGCACCTACAATGCATTGGGTCTAATTTTACATATGTGGCATATAAATAGACTTAAGTCCGAAATGACATTGTCCCTTCGGGGACATACGATAAAATTAGAACGATACAGAGAAGATTAGCATGGCCCCTGCGCAAGGATGAGAAAAAGTCCTAAATGACATGGACAAACCCAAGTAAAAAAACTCAAAAGCTATTCAATGCAAAAAATAAAATACTAGATCTAGTATACATGACAACCAATAAAAATGCTCTAATATGTTTCATTTATTAAAAGAAAATTTAAATGAGGAATAAATGATGAGTGTTTGGGTTTGTACTTGGGTCCAAAATAGACCCAAGTGTGGACTTTGTCTCTTTTTTTTATTGCCGCATAAGCTAGACCATGTCCACTTTTAATTGCATTGAGAGACATTTTTTTAATAGACTAAGTCTATTTCCTTTGTGGCATAGGATATTTTATTAAGAGACCAATGCATTGTGTGTGCTCTTAGAACATGCACAATGCTTTGGGTTTATTCACAAAAATATACATGTCATATAAGAAATAGACCTAGTCAAGAAAAATATGTACTCCAATGCAAGTGCAAGTGGACCGGGTCTCGCTTATGTGGCAGCAAGAAAAAGAGACCCGATCTAGCCTTAAGTCTATTTTAGACTCAAGTAAAGACCTAGTCTCTTTGCATTGGAGTTAAATTTGTTACTTTTTTTTTTTATATCTTTGTCCATGTCATCAAAGAATTAAATCTATAACTTACCACATAAGCATAATTAGACCCAAAACATTGCAAATGCTCTTAGGACCACATTTTTAATCCAACGGTGCTTAACGATATCAATTATCAAAGGTAAATGTCCAAGAGTAATTCTCCTATATATAATTTCCGAATGCGCTGAGCCTACGTGGTTGCTTTTGGTGCTTCGGAATTCTACTTGGTGAATAATCATGCTTCGTAATTAGGTTTGGACAAATAATATTGATATATTAATAATTAATAATCTAAGTTCGGACATTCCATAAATATTATTTAGCTAACTTAGGTATTTTAATATCACTTGTATTAATATAACCCTTTAATTCTTTGTAATTTTACATAGTGAGACACTAAGTGACTAATATATCTCTGACTTTTGATTTACTTCCCACAATTAGGTATTGAATTGTAAATGTATTTTAAAAGTTGACAATTTTTGTATTTCTTATCGGTTTTACATACATAATATATCAAATTTAATCATCTTTTAATGAGATTCGATTTGACATCCATATTGTATATATGGAATAAATAAATTATATTTATCTTTATAACAATAAAAAATAATAATATTAACTGAAATTCATTAAAAAAATAAAATTATTTCTCAATTGATATATTTATGTTTAATGTAGTTATATATTGTAAGTTAAAAAAATTATTATAATATAACACATATAAGTCGCACAAATAAAAAATATCATAGTAAATATATAATAATATATATTTTTATAAAGGAATTTAAATTTTTTAAATACTTCTTCTATTACTTTTAGATTTTAAAAAAAATTAGCAAGCACCCGTGTAATGAGCCTTGTAATAGCAATTAATTATTAATTACTCTATAATAACACTACCGCCCTAGATTCCCCCGGCCTTTTGCGGTGCGCAGTTAAAACCTGCCCTCCAATATTTTCCCCACTGTCCGCCGTCGCCGCCACCTGCGGTGATCGTTATCTCCCTACTCCCAATTCCCGACCTATGAATCCTTCCCTCTCCTCTCTTTATTGAAAACGAAAAAAAAAAGAAAAAAAAAGAAAAATCGCATAAAAAGCTCAGATAGTTTGTTCTTTCCTTTATCGGTTTTTGGTCAAAATAGTTGAATCGGTGTATGAGATTTTTTTGGTTCCTTTGATTCTGAGAATAAAAAAGAGGAGAGGGAAGTAATTATCAAAAAAAATAAAAAAATTACAAAACTCTTCGAAAAAGGAAAAAAAAAATCCAATGGCACAGATTCAGATGCAGCCTCAGGTGCAGGTGGTGAATGTGGCTTCGTCCGGCGGTGCGCCGTCTGTGACTTCTCTGTACGTCGGCGACCTCGACGCGAATGTATCTGATTCCCAACTCTACGATCTGTTTAGCCAGATGGGAGATGTGGTCTCCGTTAGGGTTTGCAGGGATTTGACTACTCGGGGATCTCTTGGATATGGCTATGTCAACTTCGGCAACCCTCAGGACGGTAAGGTTTTTATTTGCTCCACACGATATGTGATCTAGTTTGAATACTTGAGCTGCATCTCTCTCTCTCTCTCTCTCTCTCTCTCTCTCTCCTCAATTTGTAGGATGAAAGTGAAACATATCACTAGTTTGTGCTCTTCATAGTGTATGATTGTTTGTAGAATGGAAGTAAAAACATTAGAAAGTTTTTATGTAGTTTAGGTTCTAAATAGAGATGTATATCCAGTATCTTTCATCCAAAAAGAAAGAGGGGCTAAATTGGTGATTGGTGTAGTAGAGCGAATGATTTGTGCATTATATTGCTTCTGCTGCTGTGCCTCGTAATTGCATTCGGTTGTTGTTACACTTCACCTAGTCTGGCTGACATTTATTTTGTTTCTGTTTTAATTATTTTGTTTTTCGTCTTTCTTATGCCTCCGCCCTTAGTTTAACTAGTCTGATTGCGTAACTAACTGCCTCTGGAATTGTTGGTAAGGTTAACCTCTGTCCCGCGGTTGTGCCTTGTCTAACTTACTCAGTTTTTGGTTTATTGTAGCCGAGAGAGCCTTGATGGAACTGAACTTCACTCCTCTCAATGGGAAACCCATCAGGGTAATGTATTCTCATCGGGATCCTAGTGTACGAAGAAGTGGTGCTGGAAATATATATATTAAGGTACTATTTGAAATCTTCTGTTCACTCTATTTATGTCATTCTCCCAGTTTGTAAGATTCAACTTCCTGGGGACTTTGTGGTTCTGTACTTAAATGTATTGGTTTCTTTCTTTTTCTCCTTTTTTTTTTGTTTTTTTATAGAATTTGGACAAGGATATTGACCACAAGGCTTTGCATGATACATTTTCTGCCTTCGGCAATATTTTGTCATGCAAAGTAGCAACAGATGCTTCTGGTCAGTCCATGGGATATGGATTTGTGCAATATGCTAGTGACGAATCTGCCCAGAAAGCTATTGAGAAGCTCAACGGCATGCTCCTTAATGGAAAGCAAGTCTACGTGGGACCCTTCCTCCGCAAGCAAGAAAGAGAGATGTCGAAAGACAAGACTAAATTCACTAATGTGTTCGTGAAAAATTTGTCTGAATCAACTACTGAAGAGGATCTCCAGAAGATATTTGGTGAATTTGGAACCATTACCAGTACAGTGGTGATGAAAGATGAAGATGGAACATCAAAATGCTTTGGATTTGTCAACTTTGAAAATCCAGACGAAGCTGCTAGAGCAGTTGACTCTCTCAATGGTGCAACAATTGAGGACCGGGAGTGGTTTGTCGGCAGAGCTCAAAAGAAATCTGAGAGGGAGATGGAACTGAAAAACCGGTTTGAGCAGAGTGTCAAGGAAGCAGTTGACAAATCTCAGGGGTCAAACCTGTATGTCAAAAATCTGGATGATAGCATTGGTGATGATAAGCTTAAGGAATTATTCTCTCCATTTGGTTCAATAACTTCATGCAAGGTCGGTGCCTGAATTCTTCATTTGGTTGGAATTAATTGACTCTCGTCTTTGGTGTGTTCATCAGTACATAAGTCTCTTACGAGATCTGTTTCTTATGTTTGTATAGGTGATGCGAGATCCAAAAGGAATTAGCAGAGGATCAGGCTTTGTTGCATTCTCATCACCTGAAGAGGCTTCAAGAGCTGTGAGTTAACTTCTACGCACTATCTTCCTTTTTGCCGATTATATACCATATAAGTTACTAAGTATGGGAACTTCTATGACAATTTCTGCAGCTTTCTGAGATGAATGGAAGGATGCTTGCTAACAAGCCTCTGTACGTTGCTCTTGCTCAAAGGAAAGAAGATAGAAGGGCCCGGCTACAGGTATCTTTATTGACCATCATTGCACTTAACTACGAACAATGTGTTATATTGAGTCCACTGTCTTTCTTGGGAAATGCAAAGCCAAAATAATAATTCACTATGTGTTGTAAATTGTTGGTAGTTTTTGCTCCTGATTGGAAAGTTTAGGGCATGCTTGTTTACAAATCTTTTTGGTTTTGATTGATTTTTTTGGTTAACTATAGTTAGTTTTGAAAAAGTTGATTGAGTTAAGTTTGAGTGGGATTTTGAGTTTGTATTGAAATAATATTTAAAATAAAATGATTAGAGTGGATTTGATGTAAAAGTAGGAGATTGGAAGTGATGGGTAGTTAAAGTTATGTGAGTAGATGAATAGAGAATTAAGTTGATATAATGTGTATGGATGATTGATCTATATTATTTAATTATATTAATAATATTGAGGTAGGGAGGTTGAGTTATTTTTGAGTTGATAATGAATTTTTTTGGGAAAAACTTATAAACAAGCACCCTCTTAGTGTTTTACCATGATTAGCCTTCCAAGTGATCTCTATTCAATTTGATTGAGCACAAGCTGTGCTGTCATAGTGCGCCCATGCACTAGTTCATGAAAAATGTTGATTTCCTATATGAATCTATCCAGGCACAATTTGCTCAATTGAGGCCGATGACAATGGCGCCTACTGTTGCTCCTCGTATGCCAATGTATGCTCCTGGTGGTCCTGGGCTAGGGCAACAGATCTTCTACGGGCAACCTCCACCTGCCATCATTCCTCCTCAAGTATAGTTATCCATTCTTTTTTCCCATTTATGAATCATGTCCAGTTGGATTTCTGATGTTGAGTCAAATTCTTATGTTAGTTTATTGATACAGTAATCATATGAAAGTAACTTATCGTTACGTGTTAGAGGGGTGTGTGTGGATAAGAAAACTTAAATCTGCATGTTATGTTTGGCTCTGATTGGTGAAACGAAGAACATGCATTTTGTCTGCTTCATCATTTTCTTTCTCCGAGGATATTTGGAACAGAGGGGCCCAGCGTCTGTTTTTACAAGACTTTCATCAATTTTCCCAATATTAGTTCATATATACTTGTATCTGGTACACGAATACATATACATCTGCTGCATATTATTCTTTCAAAATATGCCTTACTGCCGCTGACTTTGCATGGCGGGTTTGTGATCTAATTGATACAATATTCTTTCAAAATATTATATATGCCTTACACTCTAATCAATAAGATTAAGATTTTAGATTTTCATATACCCTAAACCTCTAAAATGCCAACGCCTACCACTTCCTGAGCATATAAAGTTACTTTTCTTGAAAATTATATATTAGATAGCAGTCAAAACAAATTGAGCTTTATAGGTTGTCGGATTACACTATGGTTTTATAACTTAATTTATGGAACTAATGACTTAGTACCTGAAGTGATTTATCGCTTTCATTTTCTCATCAACATGGTCATGCTACTAAAGACTGGCACTCAATGTGATATGCATAGTTTCATATTTTTGTATGAAAAATAATGAGATAATGCGCAACTTGAAAAAAAATGTCAATAACTGCCTTTTCATGCTTCTTTTATCCTCTTTAGCATGGATTTGGCTATCAACAGCAGCTTGTACCTGGTATGAGGCCTGGTGGGCCTCTCATGCCAAATATGTTTGTGCCTATGGTCCAGCAAGGGCAGCAAGGACCACGTCCTGGTGGAAGGAGAGGCAATGCTGTTTCAATGCAACAGGGCCCACTTCCTGTAATGCAACAACAGGTTCGTGGCATTTTGATATATTGATTTCTTCCTTGTAGCTTTTATTTTATGATGCCTCATGAATCCATTTATTAATTTATTTATTATCTGTGCAGATGATTCCAAGGGCACGTGGTAAACCATACCCTCCTGGACGTGGTATGCCTGATGTCTCCTTGCAAGGAGTGCCTGGGGGTATGCTCTCCGTCCCGTATGTTGGCGGCCTTCCTATTCATGATGCAGGAATTTCTCAGCCGATTCCTATTGGAGCTTTGGCATCTGCCCTTGCTAATGCTTCTCCTAATGAACAGAGGACGGTATGCATTTTATTTTAGGCCATTGACTTAATGGTTCTGGGTCACACTTCTAAGTGCCCCATGGTACAAGACGTTTATATAATTTTTAAGGCGTATATTTTTGTCAGCTTTTACCAGATATAGTATCTCAATTTGATGGAATATTGTTTAATATTTGCATCAATGATTAGTGTTGATGTTATTTCAGTCTCATAACTAAATTATTTTCCATATTAGTATATTTGTTTGTCATCCCAGTTAAAGAAAATGCATATCACGAATTTATCGAGGAACATTTGCAAGTGGATTGAAAATTGTGGAATGATCGCATCAGCTTCTATCAAAATTTGTCCAACTTTGGAAAAAACTAATCAATTTATATATGTATCCCAGACATCCTTTAAGATGTCGCGGACACCTCGTAAGGGGGTAGTCCGTGAGCTAGAACAAATGTCAGGGGGGTGATTATCATTTTATCAAATGTGGTTGGAGTGGTTTGTTAATCGACTGAACCTTGGGGTGCATAATTTGTGATGAGCCAAATGTTATTTCTCTTGATAACGCAACATTTATTACTAGATTACTTGTATGTTCAGATACATGTCTGCTTTTTATTTGGGTGGCCCATTGACATGGTGTTTGAATCTCTTGTTAATGCAGATGTTGGGTGAAAATTTGTACCCACTCGTGGAACAATTGGAGCCCGAGATGGCAGCTAAGGTTACTGGCATGCTTCTTGAAATGGACCAGACGGAAGTGCTGCACTTGCTCGAGTCACCCGAAGCTCTCAAAGCTAAGGTTGCTGAGGCAATGGATGTCCTCAGGAACGTATCTCAGCAACAGACTGGCACGCCAGTCGAGCAGTTGGGTGCATTATCCTTGAATCAATGAATTAGTTCTGGCTTGAAACATATATTGCTCTAAATTGTTACTCTTTTAAGAGTGTTTTATTTTATTACGCTTTTGGTTTGTTGAACTTGGAGAGCAAGTTTGATCGTGTGCCTTATGCTGATGTTTCTTAGCTGGCATATCGGATATTTAGATTTGCCTGAACTATGAAGCTTTCCTGGTTTCGGGTTTTATTTAATTTGCATGGACTGGTGGATTTGGAGATGGATTTTATTTAATTTGAATGGACTCCTTGGTTTGGACATGGATTTTTGTTTTGTATTCATCTATTTGTTTTGTGATTTCTCGTCCTTTAGAAGAGAGTGTTCCATTTGGGTAGTTAAACAAAGGGATCTGTTTCCCTATCCACGGTGGGTAGGGAATTAAAATGTCCACTGCTTATGTGATATGTACATATTGGTGGGAGAGAATTAATATGCCCAATGTGTACATGTCACATACGCGGTGGGCATATTAATTCTGATGTCACCCAAGTGAGTGACATATCGTGGGGAGGGGAACAAATCCGGTTAAACAAGTAAATGGTGGGTAAACCCAAGTGAGTGACATGAGGACTGGTGTCACTCACGTTATACAAGTGGACAACAATTTTCGAACCCCATGTTCTGTTTGCTCATAGAGAAATCATCATCAACATACCCAGTATATTTCCAACAGGTTGGGGTCTGGGGGGTCAGTTGTACGCAGACCTTACCTTTATAATTATAGGCTGTTTCTATAACGACTTAAGGTGCGTTGCGTCGTTTGATATATTTTTTTTCTAGAAATTTCACTAATAGAAGAAGCACTAGAAATTTTTTTTTTTTTTGGTACAAAGAAAGCACTAGAATTTAATTGAGCCATTTTGATCTAATCTATTATTTGCACTATGCCAGGAGAATTGTCAACAATGACTTTTCCAACTCCATATGGAATGTACATATTTGCTCATAGAGAAATGTTCTATTAAAAATATTTTTGGTTACACTCACGTTATACAAGTGGACAACAATTTTCGAACCCCATGTTCTGTTTGCTGATAGAGAAATGTTCTATTAAAAATATTTTTGGTTAACTATTGGTTTGAGAACCAAAGAATACGACTGGTCAATTTTTCATTCAAGACTCTACTAATCAAACAAACCAAACAACATATAGGTAACCGCTGCAAATGAAGGTAACCGCTTATTTGTTAAGGTACCAACACTAACAAATGCCCAATCACTAACAAGAATTCAACGGTACGATTTCTGGAACCTCGCGCGGGAGCCGCGTCCTCCAAACTTCTTGGGCTCACAGCGCCTAGGGTCTGCCACCAGCAATGTCCTGTCGTAACTCACGAGGATGTCCTTGAACTCCTTCTTCAACTGCTCGTCGACGTACTTCTGGTAGAAGGCGACGAGGGCTTTAGAGATGGACTGGCGGATGGCGTAGATCTGGGAGGTGTGGCCGCCGTGTAAGAATATGTGGCCCGAAAGTATTGGGCTCACAATTAATTATCCTACTGGGCTAGTCTTTAATTAATGGTAAAACAGATCTAAGCCATTAATCTGGATATTTGATGGACGTACCAGATTTAAAGACACCCCTATATAAATTAGTCCTCTCTCCTCCTATTAGGGTACGCAGTATTTTTCCCATCACTTTTCTGCTACATTAAGAAAAGGTCAGGAGGGAGAAACTAATTTAGTTCTAACAATTGATCAAGCCTCTTGTGATCATCAAGATCGAGATCACAAATTATGTCGTCTTCCGCATCAAGTAAGTATTTCGTATACACAAAATTATTTATTCAAGATCCTTAATGAAGTTTACATGTGGTATCAGAGCATGTGTTGTGAATAAATAATTGAAGTGTATTTTACGGATTATCTGATTATTTGGATAAACACGTTACATTATGTTTACCGTTTTAATGATGATGAGTATGTGATTTGATGTCATCGCATCAGATCAATTAAAATTCTCCCACTGATTTTCGCTGAATTGCTGAATTTTTGACATCAAGCATCTGCCATATCTAATTGCTTGGGGAATTATTTGTTGGGCTACAATTCCTATGATGGTTGTGGCTTTAAATAATTGTACAAATATTTAAGTTTATGTACATATGTGATCCTGCATATGCATATCAAATATGTATTTATTTATGAGCTTATTAATTTGGCATCTTATGATGGATGGATATCCTCAATAATTGTGAGTGATCCTTACGAATTTGTGGTACTTCCATGAATGTGCATAACTGAAGCATAATTTGACATGTTGGTTTGTTGTTCCATAAAGTTACGGAACTTTATTTATTAAAATTAAAACCAATGTATATTATAATGTATGAGATT